AAAACCCTAACGCATTTATTGCCTTAAAAACAGAAGAAAATTCTCTTATTTGGAAAAATTTGTATTCCAATTTTAAAAGGAAATGTTTTTTTTTTTAATTTAAAATGCTATAGCTTATGAACATTTTTTAGAGAATTTAATGACCTGCAAGAATATGCCAGAAAAAATTTCAATCTCAAACGCTTAAATAGTTATAGCAGTTTTAATGATGAAAAATATTTTTTCATGTTGTTTTTCAATGAAAATTCCAAATGCCCGGCGGCATATAAAAATAAAAATTTTCCAAATAGGAGAATTTTCTTCTCAGTAAATAGGTCCTTTTAGGGCCATGCATTCGTTAGGTTAGTTTTTTTTGGAACACCCTAATGCATATGTACCTACATAAATATGTATGTAAACTTCATGATTAAGTGAACATTGATAAAAATCGCTTTGTTTTTGTTGTTTGTTTTTATTACTAAACTGGATGAAATTTTATTTTATTTTATTTTACAATCTCCTTTTATGAGCTAATACAAGCATACATGTGAATACATAGTATATGTATGTACATTAGACTGCATCACCAAAAAAAAGTTGCGGTTTTTCCGCCGGGATTACAAAATTTATTATTTTTTAAGATGTCCACCAAATTATTTCAGGTAAATATTAAGATTTACGTCAGCTGGGCCGATTTGAAAATACCTTCAAATATGGAGTTTTTTATGAATAAAAATAGTTTCTTAAAGAACTCTTTGAAAAAAGTCCCCTCAGATGACAAAACTGATTAAGCGTAAAAAATTTGCATAAAAATATTTAAAAATCTTTTCAATGGAATCGTAATAATGAGATTTTTGATGCCCTTTTTTTTACTTTTTTCAAAGATTGATTTACGAAAAACTTGAATAACTGGGCCAAAAATATTCTGATTTAGACTTGTGAGGTATCATTGGAAACTTATTTTCTCACCCTTTTTATTTCTTTGCTAATAAACTCATTCAAAGGATGAAAGAGATTCTGTTAAAATTTTTTTTTAAATTTTTAAAAATATCTGTATGCAATTTTTTAAGCTTGAACCGTTTTGTCATTTGAGGTGATTTTTCAAAAACATCTTTAAGAAACAATTTTTATTCATAAAAAACTCCATTTTTGAAAGTATTTTCAAATTGGTGCAGCTCACGTAAACCTTATTTTTTCGAAATATTTTGGTGGACGTCTTTAAATAAAATAGATTTTATAATTCCAATGGAAACACAGTACCGATTTTTTTTTTTTTTTTTTTTTTTTTTTTTTTGGGGGGGGTGGAAATTTATTTTTTTTTTATTTTTTTTTTTTTTTTTTTGTATGGGGAGTGATGCAATCTAATGTAC